GGAAGAAACTTCTGGTTTATTTACAGTTGTCCTTTATGAAAAGAGTTTTCGAAAACTTCCAAAACCTTGCATAATCAAAACATACGTTTCAAGAGTTTTTTCGAGGGAGCTTTCGATAGTACCGATTATTGAGGGTCTCAAATATATTTTCTTATTATTTTTCGCAATTTTTTTCACCATAATACCAAATTCCAAAGTTATTTTAAGCAACAAATTTTTAAATTATATATAAATGTCTTAATAAAACAAAAAACAATACAAGCCCAGCAGACAAATTCCGGAACCGAGCTTCGGTCAAAAATGAGGGGTCCGTTTTATGGATGGATAGGTCTATCTTTGGCTCTACTAAGTTTAGTTGAGTTCTGTCGACTAAAGCCGTAAATATGCTATTTTAAATCAAACGGGATGTTGAAATAAAAAAGTTTAAAACCAAATTATTGTAATATTGTCACTATTTCAAAAATATATATGGTATGAATCAGTTACATAAAATCCCAAAAACCATTCATCAAAACAATGACCTGAAAAAGCATCTAAGAATTACGGAAGAGCCTTGCCGTGCGAATGAGATTTTCCAATACTAAAAAGGGCGTTGCTTAAAATATTTCTTGGTAAATTCTTCACAAAAACAATTACATCGAGCCAAGTTTTACAGCTACAGGATATCCGAAAAACAACAATAAGTAGAAGCGGCACACTTGTAGCTTAATGGCGTAACCAGTGGCTCGTGCTGTGGGCATCCCAAGTTCGAATTCAATTCGAATAAAGTTGTCTGGAAACAGAAGTCTGATTAGGAAACGTGGTAGTTTCCGAAATAGCAGCTATAACTTTTACCATTCAAAACTGTTCTTGTAATTTTTTCACTATTACAAAATATATATGGTATAAAACCCCCAAAATGATTTCATTGCCTTTACAAAAACCCAACCCATTTGTTGTAAGTGTCTTGGTATCCATATCATCCCAATCAAAATCATGTACCAAGTATTTCAACATTTGTGTATTTGAAAGAAATTACTAAAATTTTTCTAAACGATTTTTTGTTTAGGCCTGCTATTGAAGAACACGACTTGTACTAAATTTGCCACATGCCACACAACACGCGCGAATATGGCTTTATGGCAAGAGAAACTTTCTGGCTGCGTAAGCTCTGTCATTTGACATCGTTCTGGTATGACCTTCAGAAAACGCGCCGATTCAAGTTTAGTCTCCTCCTGCGGAGCAATCTCTTGAGTTTTTGGAAGAGCCAGAAGTCACATGGTGCTGAATCCGGCGATTACGGTGGTATTGGAACGACATTCGTGGTATTTTTGGCGAAATGGTAACGAAGAATGATTGCTGTGTGCAACGGTGAATTATAGTGATGCAAAAACCTTTTATTCATATAATAAAGACAAGCGTATCTAAAATACTAATGATGACATTGTCATAGAATTTAGCGAGTTATCACGAATTTCGTTGTTCGTTAACGAGACTTGAGAAACTATTGTTACAAGAAGACGTTTCTGGAACAAACGATACTTTCAAGGAGTAAGGAGATGTCGATTGCATAAAATCGACTTCAATGACACTTCGGCAAGATCACGATTGATTGATATTGGTAAAATTATAAAAAATTCAACTAAGATCGTGGGTGAATTGCTTAAAAATAATATTGTGAAAAAGCGAAAAAAACGCAAACTGAAAATGTAAAACCAACAAAAACTCCATAAGTAAATAAAAGAAAAACCAAAAATGTTTCTTTTTTGTTTCATTCAATTTTCTTTCAAATTCTTCATTTCTTTATTATTTCAATAATTGTTTTAATATTCATAATAATAATCATAATAATTAATTAATAATAAGCAAGTAATTAATTAAAAGTAAATTAATTAAAATTATATATATGTTTATGTGTATGTGTATTTATTTATGTATAGTTTTTTCGCATTTCTTTTTCACGCTTCCAATTTTCTTTATAAAATACATATTTATTTATATATATAAATATATTACTTGTTTTGCTGCCTTTCGGTGTGTGTAAAGTAAAAGAAACAATACTAAAAGTAGCTACATACATACAAACACAAATAGAAGGGACAGTAATCATTACAATCAAAGTAATTATATAATAGTAATTAAAATAATCAAAATAATAATATTAAACAAATGTAGTTATGCAATTAAAATAATTGCAAATCATTATTACAAATACATACATAATTATTTATGTATTTAAGTTCATATATGTCAATATATATATATATATATATATATATATATATATATATATATATATGTGTATGTATAGGCCTTTAGTGTACTAATATAAACAAACTTTTTACATTGCTTAAGAAAAATTTTACTAACACTAAAAAAACAACAACTCAAATCGCACAGAAATCGTATTGCCAAAACTATGAAATTTAAAAGTTTTTAAATTTATTTCTTTTTGATTTTTGTAGTAGCAAAATAGGTTTAATAATTTAAATAAAAAAAAATAAACAAAAATTGTCTCGAAACAACTTAATTTAACATTGAATAGAATTTGAGTTGTTAGGTTTGGCGTTTCTTCTCAGAGCGAGCGCAGGACTATCTACTGCCTTCCCGCTGTAGTTAAAGGGCGTAGTGTGTGTATGGTCGTGTGTGTGTGTGGTAAGTATTGGGCTTAAGCAAATTATTCAAAACAAACTTATTGTGCTAAAACTAATATATATATGCATATAGTATGTAATTTACACAAACAAAATATATATGTATATTTAACATTATAAAGCAAGATTGTGGGTACTCTCTTTCTCTCTAAATATATATCCCTATTACGCTTTGTTTCTCACACAACTGGGTGTTTTTTTATTCTACCTCGCTTACGTGCGTGAAAATAAGCAATTAACTTTAGTTGCTGTTGCTGTTGTTTTTTTTTAAATAAAATTATAAGCGAATTCAACTAAATCTAATATTAATTCGTTTATTTTTTAATATTAAATAATTTTATTTAAAACTAAAATTCCTTGTTTTTTGCCTTTAAATATTATTTTATGGTATATAACAGTTTGTATTACTTTATTTTTATGCTGGATTTTGCCTTTTTGCATAGTGAAATTGCGTATGAAAAATCAACAATTTTTTCTTAAGTCAAAAAAAAAAGAGCTTAAACAATATTTTCTTTAATTTCGAACAAATTAATTTTGTTTTTTAAATTAAAATAAAATTATTATTTTTTCTAGTGCGTATTCGCCAAAACTGTTTTCTACTGTTTTTGGGTTTGTTTTGTTTTTTTTTTTTTAGTTTTTTAGTAATCTTACTTGTTCACTTCCTTCTCCTTTTAACTACTAATTTTGTTCTTTCTTTACACGCTTCGCTGCTGCATTCTTGCCTCGAGCGACATAACTAATTTTTTATATATAATTTTTTTTTTTTTTTGGGTTTAAATTTAAATTAATTTTATTGGTCAGACGTTAGACCGACATACATAGCTTTTCACACAATTTTTTATTCTACATACAAATACAATTATTTATTTACTTTTATATAATTATTATTTTTCATATACATTCATTTGTTTTTGCTTTTGTTTTTTTTTTTTTTTAATTTTTGTTAATTTCTTGGGTCTTAAGTAATGCTTTATTCGTGCTTTGCTGCTGTGATATTTGAATTTGTGTTGAAAGAAAATAAATAACTGTTTTTTTGTTTTTTCTTTTTTTTTTTAATTTAAAAATTCTTGCTAACGCATGTGTGTATGTGTATAAATTTCCATGTAAATACGTATGCATAAATTGCTAAATTTTTATTATTTTTATTTTCTGTTGTTGTTGTTTTTTGTTTGTAGCAAAGTTACAATATTCAACTTGCAGCGCATGAATTTCCATTTTAAATTAATACTTTACATAATTGTTTATATTTTTTTTTTTTCATTTTATATTTTTTTTATTTTAGGTTTTTTTGTTTGTTTGTTTGAAACATACAAAGTTCATATACACAATTAGTTTTGTTTTTGTTCTTTAAATACATAACTATTTTAATTTAATTTATTTCAATTTTTATTATTTCTCTTTGCTTGTATTTGCTGCTTAGCGTGTGTGTGTGCTTTGTTTATGTTTTTCTATTCTGCTTGCTTGCTTTGTTTCTGACGCCTTTCATTTAGCAGCTTTCAAATAATATCATCGTTTCAATAGTGTATGCATGTATGTATGTATGTATGTTTGTATGTATTTATGCATTTTAGTATTAGTAGCTATTTATACATATGTATTTATGCATGCTTGCTGTTTTGCTTTTATTATTATTTTCAATTATTTACTTGTTTAGTTATGCATTTATTTTGTATGTATGTATATTTTTACTATTTAAATTTACTGATATTGCCACAATTTTTTTTTAATATTTTTATTTTCATTGATTTATTTTATTCGCCTGCATTGAAGTGCATTTTCATATGTTTTTTTTTTTTGTTAAATTTAAATACATTTAGTTTTAATTTTATTTTTTTTCTTTTGCTTTGCTTTTTGTTTGTTTGCCGTGTATTTTGCTTTTAAGTCGCATTGAGTAAGGAGATCAACAACTTTCTGCTAAATACACTCATACACAGTTGAACTTTGACTTGTTTGCGTTGTTAGCAGTACATACATATATATATATAAATATATATGAAGACATGTATGCTATTTCATTTTCAGAAATAATATTTGCTGTTTTTTTTAATAAAACTAATGAGAAAAACTAATAAGAAATATGTTTTCCATTGAATTTAGTATATTGCAGTGGTGATAAGTTTCGATGCTTCAACAAAATTTTATTTTGTTAAATAATTTTTTCTCATTTTTATATGGTTGTATGAATAACTTTTTCAAACAAATATTATATATTATGTCTATTGGTTTGTGTAATAAAAAAAAAATCTGAAACATGTTCAATTCAGCTCGATCTATTTTTATTTAATAATATTGCCGTATCAAGTATTTTTTTCTTTTTTTCTTCGCCGATTTTGTTTTTATAGCCAAAAGTGTCTCTTTTTTTCCTTCTGAATGAGTTTTGGTCGCAACTCTTTGATTGCTGGTAACAGTTTGGAGTTTTTTGGATTTCGTTGCGACTGACCGGATTTTAGTTCTAAAAAGAGAAAAAAAGAGAGAATACAAAATTATTATATATATATAAATTATACAAATTGAAATGAATTTGCATATAAAAATATATAATTTCATATATAGTATTTTGTTTTAAAGAAAAAATATATAAAATAACAAAATTAAAGAATAAAATTAGTTAAAATAAAATATAATAATAAAAAACTAAATAATAAATAAAATAACTTAAAATAAAAAATATTTAACTTAAACTAAAATAAAATTAAATTAAACTAAAAAAAATAAAATAAGAATAAAGCAATAAATGAAAATAAATTGTTAAAAAAAAATTAAAAAAAGTACAATAAAATAAAAATAAGGAAAACAGTATTTTTTTACAAAATAAATAAATAAATTTTATTAATTAAAATAAAACAAAAATGACTAGCAAAAAAATTTTAATAAATTTAAATAAAAAAAAATAAACAAAAATTGTCTCGAAACAACATAATTTAACATTGAATAGAATTTGAGTTGTTAGGTTTGGCGTTTCTTCTCAGAGTGAGCGCAGGACTATTTACTGCCTTCCCGCTATAGTTAAAGGGCGTAGTGTGTGTGTGTGTGGTAAGTATTTTAAGCACATTTTTTTCAAAACAAACTTATTGTGCTAAAACTAATATATATATACATTTTTTTTGTAAAATAAATAAATAAATATTATTATCATAATTAAAATAAAACTAAAATGTATAAAAATTAAACCAAGTGCAAAAACAGTTAAATAAAAGAATATAAAAAAATACAAAAAATATTCAAGTTCTTTAAATAATGTTTGTCGCGCGCTTCGCTCAATTTATGGGCAATATTCGCACCAACATCACTGTTTTTGACAAACGCAGCTTCCCAAGCGACATCGCTTCACACGTAAGGCTCTTGAACAGATCCAAGAAGATCCGACGTCAAATTTTACTTAGCAATAACGGCCATTTCTGGCTCAATGGATATTTAAATAAGCAAAATAGCCGCATTTGAGACAAAGATAAACATGAAGAGATTCAAAAGCTGCCATTTCATCCAGAAAAAAAAACGGTTGGGTGTGGTTCTTCCACCGAGCCGGTATCTTCGGTCCATATTTCTTCAAAAATGATGTCGGTGAGAACATAACCGTTAATGGCGACCGTTATTTCGCCACGATAACCGATTATTTGATGCCTGAAATTGCAGCTACTGAGTTCGCCAGTAATTGGTTTCAACCAGGCGGCGTCACTTCCACACATCGCATCGCATAAATCGATTAATTTGAGCGAAACCTTTGGTGAGCAGAGAATTTCACGTTTTGGGCCGACGTTATGGTCACGTTAGACTTTTTCCTGTGGAAATATGTAAAGTCTAAAGTCCATGCGGACAATACCGTGCGTCATTCGTCGGCCACCGATCGAAATGCTCGAACGAGTCATCGAAAATTGGATTCAACGGATGAGCGATCTGAAACGTAGCTCTATTTTCTATTTTTTTTCATTAAAAAAAAAAATGGGAACTTCAAAATGGACCACCCCCATTTGCTTATTCGGAATTTGTAGGAGCTCAATGGCTCAATGTTATTAGCCAGATATAAGATACAGTTAAAGAAAAAAAATCGTATTTTAATTATCACTAATCCTTGATGGGATATAATACCATTGGAGCGAAGTAATGGCTTGGAAAGTGGTATGAAGTCGCCGCGTTAGAGACACCCGCGATGCAAAATTTTGTGGGCGTACAGGGTTAAATGCAATGTCACAGAGGATGAAGCATGGATCCATCACTTCCAACAAAACGTTGTGAACACCATATTTAGTCCAAAGCGCCCGAAAGTACAAAAATCGGTAGGAAAGATGAAATGTTCAACAAAAGTGGTATTGGAAAGAAAGGGCGATTTTTTTACCATTTTTAAATACTTTAATATAATACATATATAAATGTAAATATAAACTTCATTTTAACGAAATGTCTAAAATTTCATAGTTAGAAAAAATACTACAATATAATTCAAAATTTTTTGAAACACTTACATTTTGCGCCGCAAGGAAACCAATGTTGGGTTGTTCAAAACCATTTGATGGTCTTGATAGATTTTTAGATATTTTCATAAAAAGTGTTTCGCTGTATAAAATGATTTTCCAAAAATTTTAGATTTCTAGTTTTTCTTCTTCTTTTTGTAAGCTTAGAATCCAATTACGTATATGTGAAGCGTAAGGCGTTAAAATAATATAAAGCACGTTCATGAGTTTTGAAAGATTGATACAGGAAGTTGCAGTTCTAGTTGTAGTGACAGTCAAAGTTCCTCAAGCTGAGTGTATCTATTTGTTTTGTAGGTTTGTGTTGTACGCCAGCGTTAGTGCATATTAGCAGCGTGCAGAACTGCGCCGCCGCTTGTGGGGTTCAACAATTAGCCGTTGTATGGATGGTGTTAATTTTCTTACAAGCACATAAAATACTCTTTCACATTGGTTGCTATTATTTTATTCTGCTTAATTGTGTATTATTATTTTTTAATTTTGGTGCATTTTAGTGTTTCTTATTTTTTTTTAATTTTTTTTATTTGTTTAAATCAATTCTCATTGTTGTTTATATGGTTGTTGTTGCTATGTTAATAGTAGTGGTGGTGTTGATACCAATGTGGCAGCTGCTGCCACCGATGCTGCTGCTATTGCTGCTTCTGTTGCTGTCCCTGCTGCTGCTGTCGCCACCTCTATAGTTGATTGCCCATGACTTTGACTGTGGTCGTGACTCTCAACACCATCGGTTAATTACAAATGCTGACCATAATACTCGGCGGGTGGATAATGGGGATAACCTTGATGGAAACCCGGATCACCAGGTGGACGATGCATCATATGCGCTTGACTATCCATCATATAGCCCATGGCGTCGTGACCGTACGGCGATGGACCGGGATGTGGGGTGTAAACTGAAATATGAAGAAGAGGAGAAAAATAGTGTTTTATTAAAAAATAATAATAAATATTGAAATGCGTTTAATTCTAGTTAGAAATAAAATAAAAATTAAATATTTATTATTCATATTATTATAAAAATATGTTTTTTTTTAATTTTAATAACAAATGCTTTTTATATATTTTCTTATTATGATTTTTTATTATTATTTTTTTTTTAAATTTTCTACCATTGAAATTTTTACCAAATTGCTTCACGAAGAACACGTTTTCGGTTCATCTAGTTTGGTCAGCTTATAAATTCTCATTTTTAGCGGTAATAAGTAGCTTTTTTCATTACCAACCAATTACTTTTCTTACAGTTAGTTCTCAATGATAGCACAAGCTGCGTCTTGAGGCACGTATTGCAGTGGAAAATGCAGTCGAGAGTAAAACTGGACATTCTGTGCTATAAATTATCTGGTTTATACTCTACGCTTGAAGTGCAAAGTTCAGATATGTGTGCGCTTTAGCAGCTGCCGAAATGAATGTGTTTTCAAATGGTATTGCATTTTATTGGAACATTTTTTTTTCATGCGTATTAAATTTTTTAGTTTAACTTTTTTGTCTCGAAATTTATAAAAGAAGCAAAAAAATTTAAAGTCTCTATAACAAACAATAAATTTTAATTTTTAATATATAACAATTTTTTTGCATGCTAGAGAAGTCTCCGCTAAATATTTAGTATTATCATTATGGCATAATTTTTGAAAACCTTGGTTTTTAATAAATTTTTCATTGATGTTTTTAATCTAAAAATTTAAATCTTAATTTTTTACTTTTAGACAAAAAATTTAAATTTTTCGAAATATTTAGTGCAAGCGTAAACGATTTTTTAAACATATTTAAAAACATTTAGTGCCAGTTCCTGGTGTAGTGAAAATTTTTATCCAGTTTTTCAACTAATTTTTTGTGTTGAAAATTTTTTTTTATTAATCAGATTTTAATAGTTTTTTATTTGCAAAATGTATATAATTAAAAAAAAACTTAAATCATAATTTTTTTTTAAATTTTTATTTATAATAAGCATATCTAAATTCCCTGAAGATTCGGTGTAATTTTAAAGTTGATAAAAAAAATATATAAAATTATTATCTAACTTAATTCTTTTTAAACTTTATTTTTATTATTTTATATATAGCAACTATTTCACGGATTTTTTTTATTTTGAAAATCATTATTTTTATATTAAATTTGTATTTCAAAATTATTTTTAGTTTGATGAAATGAATTTTTGCCTCAGATTTCTTTATATAGTTTTTTTTTTTAAGATTTCAATTTCAGTTTTTTATAATGAGCGATACAAATATCATATATTTATATATATATATAATATTTTATAGAAATTCATGGATTTCTTTTGTTGAGAGTCATTATTATTATTAAATATGTATTTAAAAAATCATATTTTTATTTAATGAAATTTCGCCTCATATTTCTATATCTAAAATTTAAATTTAATTTTTGTAAGATTCCAATTTAAGGCTTTTAATATGAGCGATGTAAATATTTTTTAAGAAATTTATTCTTCAACTACAACAATTCATGGAATTTGTTTTATGTTGAAAATTATTACTTTTCATAAAAAGTTTTTCATATTAAAAAAATATTTATTTTTTAACTTTATTAAAATGCAAATTATACTTAAATTTATTTCTTTTAGAGTTAAAAATTAATATTTTTCGAAATCGTATTTTAAGGACTTTGCTATACGCGAAAATATATTTAATCATTATATATTTTTATTTTCAAATTTATGTAATATCACGAAATTTTGAATTTTTGAAATTTACTAAAATAAATTTTCGACTTAAATTTATTTCTTTAGAGTAAAACTTAATATTTTTCTACATCCATTTTAAGGACTTTTCTATGAGAGAAAAATAAACTTAAATTTTTTTTAAGGATTTCCTTCTGAAGTATATCTATAATATTTTTTAAGTTTGAATTAAATTCAATTTTGACTTAAATTTATTCATTTTGGAAATGAAATTCAAATTTGAGACTTTCAATGTGAGGGAAAATAAATTTAAATATTTAAAAAAAAAATTAAACAGAAAATCGAATCCAATTAATTTTATTAAAACTTTGGTTCAAAACCCAACTGAAATTTGTTTTCAGATTTTTCTTCAATTTTTAATAAATTACAACCCGTTCGTGAAATTAATTTTTATAAAATTTTGTATTTACATAAATTTATGTCTAAACCCAACTTAATATCTTAATTAAATGAATTGATTTTTGTTCAAAATTCTTAATTACAAATTTTATCTTAATTTAAGGATTTAATAGTATAAATTTTAAATTTTAATATGGTGCACTTTTACTTACCTGCACGATTCGATTGGTCGATCATTGGCTGCACGATTCTTCGTCTCGCATTGATAAACCTGTAATTTAACAGAGGAAAATAGATTAGTTTTGCTATAAGGAAAATATTAATACAAAATTAATTCATTAAATTAATTTAATACAAATTTGTTTTAATGATTTTTTGCATTTAATGCAGCTTCCAACATTTTTATTTGTTTTTATGAAGTCAATCAGCTGATTCTAACGAAAAGCTCATTCTTCTTTTTTAACAACAAAACAATTTAATATCAGTTTTTTCCTAAATTCGCCAAAAAAAATTATGATTTAAAATCGCATAATAATAATTCAGTCTACTTCCTGTCACTTGGTTTAGGCATTTTATGAAACTACCCACAAGCGACCGCTGGAAGCTGTAAGCTACATATATAACATTATTACTGCACACACACATACACACATACAATGTTTATGTATATGTAACTCGTTGAATTGACGTAAGAAATAATAAAAAATAATTACTTTAAAGTTATGGCGGTGTTTTACAACTAAATTGGCAAACGTTTGCACGTAACAACAACGTCAGCGCTGGATATAACAGTAACAACAAAAATGCGAACAAAGTACAAATAAAGCCGACTTTGATGAAATATTGCACACACACACATACATACAGTACAGTGCAGTGCAAACAAAAAAAAGTGATTTACACAAAAAATCGCCACGCATAATTTTATAAATTATTTATGAAATCCGCACAATCCACGCAATTCACAAGCCAAATCAGCGCAGCGATGGCAATGCCCACATCTATACACACATACATACATATGTATAAACAAACAGCTCAGTTAAGTGAACGCCGCACTTTGGCTTAAAGGCTGGGAAGAACGGCTTAAGAGTAGTCAGCGCGCAAGTAAAGTGACACAACGACGAAATCCGCCACAGTTTTTTTCCTCTTTCTCCTCATTACTTATTATTGTATTATTTATATTTTTTTACTTTAGTTGTTTCCTTCACAACAATAGAGTTATTTCGTTTGAGTGTGTCGTTTTTTTTTTTTTCTTGCCACAATTGCCAGCACCCAGCAGCTTTAGTCAGAGGTTGCGGGCGCGGCGATTTTTGTTTTGTTATGATTATTGGTAATAAATACAGGAAGAAATAATAAGGTTAGCCAATAAGTATGGCGAAAGGACATATATATATAAATATAAAACAACAAAAATGATAAAAACAAAATAAATAAATGTTAAATATAAGCAAACAACAAAAAATATGCGCAACTTCAGCATCAACTGCCACTGAATGTCGGTGTGCAACAACAACAACAACAGCCACTAGATTTAAAATACTTGAAATCCAGATAAAAGCGAAAATACCGCCAATGGTGATTATATGAGCTGGGGACACTCACCCGCCGACCAAGTGGCCAGCCAAGCAGCGCGCGGTCGAGTTGCAAGAACACTACAACAACTGGCGCGCCAGCAGCAATAATCTGAAAAAAATCTCTCTATAAGCCTTGGAGAGTCAGTGATATTTGACACACAAGCACATATGTGCAAACGGCAGATATTGCATGCTTTTTTTTTTTTGAAGTTTTTGTAAGCATTACCCCCAAAAGCCAGAAAATCGCCAGGATATCAGCGCTGAACTATTGCAGTTGCGGGGAAATGAAAAAAATGCTAAGCCTGACTACTGGATTGAGTGCCAAGCTGTGACTGTTTGTATCTGCTTTTTTTCTTCTTTACTGGTTGGCGACAGATTTTGATTTCTTGGCAACCACAAGCCAAGTTTTTTGTGTTTTTATATAACTCGTTACATATATATTTAGGAGATTGCGTGCAACTGTAATGAATTGTATGAAAGTTTTTTGAAAAAATTCTAAAAAAAAAAAACAAATAAGAACCGCAAGGAGGAGGAAGAAAACTATTTTCATTTCTTTTCAACTTTAATATTAAGTTTCCCTGCTATTTTTATCCACATTTTTAAGCAGCGTTCAATTTTGCGGTAAATGCATGTTGAAACAAAAACAATGTGTTCAATTTTTTTTTTTTGCCTTTTGGTTTCGTATGCAAAGCATTCGGAAAATTGGATTTCGCAATTAATTAGTTTTATTAAATAAACAGAGAATAAAAATATATTCAAAACAAAAAATTAAATAAAAAATAAATCAATGAAATGAAACAGGAAAATAATAAGAAAAAATAAAAAACGTTAAGTAAATTAAATTATATTATTTTAAACAAAAAAATAAATAAAAAATTAATTTTATATAAAATTAAATAATTTTTTTTTATTTTAAATCAAATATAATGAAATAAAATAAATAAATAAATAAATAAATAAAGGAATAAAACGAAAATGGAACAAAATCAACTAACCAAACAAAAAAATTAAATATTAAAACGGAAAAAAAGAAAAAAAAAAGAATTAAAAAAATAAAAAAAAGTATTCGTTTATAAACCCGCTGAAACGATTTTCGGCCGAGCTTCTTCACCAAATTGACGTTTTGCGTCTTGATTTTTTTCCAATTAAATGGAGGCGCCTAGAGTAATGTAGAAACTGCAGCTCCCTCGATAAAATAAAAAATAGGAGAATTAAAGGAGAGAATAGAATAACTTCAAGTAAATTAGAATAAAATAAAAATAAGAAAAATAAAACAAATCAAAAATGTTAACTAGAATCACTTAAAACAAAATAATATAAAATGAAAATAGATTAAATCAAACTTAAATGAAATAAAACGAAAAACATTACTTTAAAATTAAATAATTTATATTAATTTACTTTAATTGAAGGAAAGGAAAGCAAACTAAAATAAAATTAATTTTACTGAATTTTTTCATAACAAAATAATGAAACAAAATTAATTGAAACAGAAAACAGCATAGTACATCAATAGTAAAGGAAATACGGGATTATCCATTTTGCGGCTTCCAAAACATTCCTTTTGAATTTTAAAGTTTGAACCTTGGCATTGTATATATAATATATGAAACTTTACATCGTTCAAATAACCATACCGCGAATTTTTGCAAACTTCTATCCTTTTGGGGTAATTTTCGACCACTTTTAAGCACATATTGGGCGATGTCGCACTCATAACTTGACGAACGTTGGTCTCAAGTGCTCAAGAGTTAGAGGTTTATACGCATAAACACAGTCTTCCGCGTAGCCTCACAAAAAACAATCCAACGTTGTCAAATCGCACGATAACCGTGGCAGTTTCTCTCGCAATAAAGCCGCATTCACTCGTGTTGTCTGGTTTGTGACACCACCTTGTTGTAACCACATATTGTCCAAGTCGCGTTTTCCAATTGCACGCCCAAAGGGTCGGTTATCAGACGACTATAACGCACCAAAGGGACAGTGATGGTTTCGCCGTTGTCTCGTTTTCAAGCAAATAAGCCCCATCACACCTCCGGACCAAAAAGCGCACCACATAGTAAGATCTTTTTTGGTTCTAATGACCTCTCTTCAACTATTTGTTGATTCTCGGTGCTAGAAAAGTGACAGTTTTGTTTATTTACGTATCCCACGAGTGAGAAATTCGGTGCGGCGTCGGAAAGTTGCCGTCCAAAGATTGGGATTCAATCACCCAAACGACGTATGTATGGCGTTGTAAATGCTTTAGTTGTTGTATGAGCTGGACTTCATATGAATGTAGGCATAAGTCTAATTTCAATATGCCATGAGAAAGTTCTCGTTTTTGAGAACGTCGAGAAATAGACACATACTGGTCTTCGGCTCCACACTTTCTTGCAGTAGCAATATTAAAGGTGGCACGAGCAAAACGATGATGCAAGAACTTACAGTATCTGTAATGGATACAGTATCTTCACATTTATTAAATTGTGTAATTGGTCAATTATGTGTACCATAATCTCCGCTTAAGGATCGAAACGTGTCCACGTTTGACTCATCTCTTTTGAAGTAAGTTTTAACAGTTTTAGCGCATTCTGTGCTCGTTAAACGATCCATTTAGGCTTAGCTTTTTATTAAAACAAAATATGTGTTGTTTCACAGTCAAATTTGACAAATGTCAAAATTCAGCGTTCACTTTTGAAAGCACGAAATTAATAACCTTTTATATTGGTTTGTGAAATTATTGTTCCTTTTCCGCATCTTTTCTTAATTTCTTTTGCATTTTATTTTATTTCGTAGCATATTTCACCTCGTTTTTAATCTAACCAAATAATTCTGCTATTTTTACTTAAAGCATAATTTTATTACCAACCTCATTGCATTATTTCGTATATTACATTTCTTTTATTACTTTAAATCGGCAAAAAGATTCCACCCAACGCTTTCTAAAATCGCTTTCTGCACCATTACAACCAGCTATAAATCATTTAAATTAGCATATCGAAATGTGCAAACAACCCTTAATTGTAGGCGTACAACAAAAGCACAAGGAACATTTATAGCCAAAGCAAAAACAGTAAGAACAGCATAAAGACACAGATAGAGACACATATGACCAAACAACCTGTGCCAGCTATGATACAAACACATTTCACTGTATTCACATATACATATATTTATGTATGTATGTATGTTTGTAAAGTCGTAAACACCCTTCAAAAACGCCATTTTATGAGCATTTCAAATAGCAGCAACAAATTACACGGCAAAACGGCTTAACTCACGACCGTCAAACAAACACGCTTACATATACACAGATATGGACATACTATACACAAATCAAATATATTTTGAAGAATACTACATACATACTCGTACATACAGACATCTCCCAACCACCCACTGAAAACACCCTCTAAAAAGTGGCGCAAAAATTTGTTGGCGTTTTGTTTACATATTCGCATAGCTATTTCCAATAGTCTTCTTCTTTTTTTTATTTTTTCATCCAGTTGCTTGTGATTTGTTTGATGAATTCTTTTGTTGGTAGCCGTCGGTTGTGTATGTATATATGTATATATATATATGTGTATTTTTATTTCGGACCAATGATGCTTTGATTGTATCTGCCTGTCTGCTGTTTAGCTATTTTGGCTATTCGCCGTTGTTGTTGTTGTTGGTTTTATTGATGGCTATAAGGCGAATGGCAAACGGCATTAGGCAATAGAGTGAACGATTGAGCGAGTGAATGAATGATTTGTAGAGCGCAACTGCGATTTATGTGTCTTTAAATGAGCATCGCCTGCGATGGCAGAGTGGTGTGCGGTGTGGGTGGAGACTGTGCATCTTAAGGGCGATTTAAGATGAAGAAGAGCAGGAGTTAGAATCTTTTTTATAGAGAAATTTGTTGATACTTGCAGCTTGGAAGGATTCAAATTTTAACTCTGTTTAAAGCGATGAAAATATTTTTAGTGATTTTGGTCGGAGAAAATATTTTTTTTTTTATTTCACTTGCTTCTTAATATAGTTCTTATATATGTATGTATTTTTTAATTTATTGGACTATTCATATAAAACCGTTAACAGCCAACAACACGCTTTCACCAACAATTATAGCCTTTAAGCACAACAACTTTTCATGTCACGCCAAGCAGGCAAAAACAAAAAAAAAAAAAACAACAACAGCGAGTGCTGTTGCAATTTCTATGACAATATTATAAACAAAGTCAAGCGGAAAAAAGCGTTAAACTATCGCATGTGACAAATTTATTGCATACAAGATTTTTTCTACACATTTCACTAGACACTCATTTCCTACACAATTTACCACGCTTCCACTGCAAATATCTACAACGACAACAAAAACAAAATATATGTACCAGTGCAACAACAACAATAGCTGCATGCCATAGTTGTTGTTTTTTTTTCTTCACTTTTTTTACACGTATGGCATGTACGTCCTTCAGTCTCTTCGACTCATTTAGTCACAGCCAGATGAAACTCTAGGTGAATGCGTGGTCCAACTAACAACTTCATCATCAAATTTGAATATTATGCGACAGTCGCAACATTTTGACAGTCACAAGCTGAGGTGTTCGCCTGCCTATCTGCTTCGCAGCAAGCTTGAACTGCTTTCTTTCGCCTGCTTGCCTGTCAGTGGATATCCGTGTGCTCGACGGGCAAAGCCAAAGCAGTGGCATCATATTACTGCAACATAGCAATTTGCCACATGCAGTCACATGACTATACACTACGAGTATATATTTAGTAAGTATGTACATGTGTATATATGCATGTATCTGCATTGTGCATTACCGTTTCTTGCGACGACACAAACTAATACACATATTGGATATGCTCGTGTAGTGTAGAAATTGTGAATATTTTATTAGACAGCTCTAAGAGGAACTACAACAATTTACAACAACATGTGTGGAAATTGTTCATGTTAGCTGTGATATAAAAATGTTTAAAGGAAAAAAAGAGAAAAATTAAAGAAAAGAACATTTGCAAAACTGTCAGGCGTATAAAATCATATGAAATGCTGACAACACGAAAGCTTTATGAGAATTGTATTGAAACACGAGAATAGAGAAAAGAAGGTTGGTCACAAGGTAAGGTATTACAAGGAGCCGTGTTGCGGGGTGGCGGTGAGCTGATATAGAGGAAAATATTAGATATTTATGAATTGTTGTTCATAAATATCAAAGCGGAGAGAAGGTCGTTCATACCACATTCCAGTATCTGAGCTCTAATGCTAATAATGACATATTATATTAAAACTCTGTGATGTGCTCATAAAAACAAAGAAACCATCTACTTGCATGGTTTTTAATAAATTTTAATATTTAAAATTGATTCTTCAGGTCTCACGAGTTTTAGAAGACAATTGATTCATTGGCAACAAGAATTTGCGGACGTTTTCACTTCCAAAAAGAGACATTTTAAATAATACTTAAGACAACTAAGCAAGCCAAAGAAGGTGTGTTACATTTGGAATTAATATTTTATTTTCATTTATTACAATTTATTTAATTTTATTTTCTATTAATTACTTTAGTTTCATTTTTTATTATGTTTAATATTCTTATTGATTTCATTATATTATTACTTTCATTATGCTATTTTTTACTGTTTTATTATTTTATATTTTATATTTTTTATATTTTAATTTATTTTATTTTATTTTATTTTATTTTATTTTATTTTATTTTATTTTATTTTATTTTATTTTATTTTATTTTATTTCGTTTTATTTTATTTATTTTAATTTTTTTAGATTTAATTTTTTTTCCTCTTTACTTTTTATTTTAATTTAATTTTAATTTAGTTTGATTGCATGCTTGTTAACTTCAAAGTGCCGTTTATGAAAAAAATAAAGTAGTTCAGCTTTAGCTTGAAGGATAAACGGAAAAAGCTCTTCAGGAAAAACTTCCACATGCATCATCTGAGATTGCCCTGCCCGTCCGCTTGGAGACCCATTTTCAACATCAATTAAATTGAATTTTGTGCTCACTTGAGCACACTAATGTAACCAAATATCGGAAGCGAACCCGACAAATATAATATGTACATTATTATTATATTATGTACATTATATAATATATAAGAAGAGGAAAACTTTTCAGATATTTACCGTACTTGTTTTCCATCATTTCTTTGCTTCGAAAATTGTTACATTCCACTCCTAGAGCGCAAACTAATTTACGCCACACTTCGGACAAAATATGCAGGAAAGCGTAAAGAAAGTACCGCACTGGGCGCGAGCTCTCCCCACTAACACCTCATAACAAACCAAGCGTACGCGGCGGAGACAGTACGTAGGAGGACAACACTTCAGTCAGTAAGTGCAAAACGCCCTAACATGCTTTAAATAATCTATGCACACACATACACACAAAAGTATAAAGGAAAACTGAAGAGGAAGAAAAATAAAGAAATAGACAACAGAAGGTAGACACTTTTGATAATTTATTGCCTGACACCTTGGCGATTTGCTTGTCGCAAGAATCGCGGGGAGGTGGAAATTGTATACAAAGTAACAACAAAAGATTAGTAAAAGTAGCAGCAAAAAAAAACAAACAAAGTAAATATAGAAAAAATTAAGGATGAAAAAATGCTGAAAAGAACACCCAAAAATCAGCCCAGCGGATGCTGCATGGTAATTCAGTGGGAATTTCACAGGCGGTGCGCCGTAAGCATAGCATATTTATGGGCTAAACATTGGGTTTGACGCTTTGTCGCTTCGTTGCGTCCAATAGCTGAGTGGAAGCGGGACGGCGTAGGCGATGAAGGCGGTGAAGGCTTTTTACTCACTTTTCCTACGTAGTTTAGCTAAATAAATTTATATTTATACGCACGAGTATACGAATAGTCCGCGCGCGCGGTAGTTATATGAAGCAGTATCAGGACCGGGATGGTGGTGGTAGCATAGGAAGCCATAGAATTAACTAAAAACACATAAAATCGTAAATGGTGTCGAGAAGGTGGAAGGAAGAAACGCGGTGTGGGTGTGTATTAAAAGTTAACATGGGCGTTTGGAAGTCGAAATGTGGATTACGATACCGAGTTGAAGTTTGGCATGGGCAGGGTAGTCATTTAAATGACCAACTAACGGCCATTAGCACCCAATATGGTGTGGCTTAATCCCGAGGCAATCGTAATCTGGGGAGCAAGTGGGTAGCAAGTTTTAGCCGCGTCTATCTTTTGGGGCGTTTTTCCCTTCAAAGGTTGTAACGTTTGAGGAATTATTCTACAAACAATTTACTAGCTTTTGCCGCAAAAGAAAAATAAAACTTTCTAAGAAACGGCTTGGCAGCGGAGCAGTGAGTGGTTGAAGTATTTTTACAAAAGCGTATAAATTCGATTTGCGGCCATTATAATTTGGCGCACACTGTTATACATATGTATATGTGTATGTATAAGTGTGTGAATGTGTGCGCTGGTCACAAGAATTATAATCGAAAAAGTTTCTCGACGACTCGGCTTCGAGTGAATAGCGCATTAGAATTTCCATCTTCCTTTTAATTTGCTTGAAATATTTTTTTTTTTATTGTTTCGTTTTACATTTAAGTTTTCTTATTGTAATTTATTTGTGTCAGGCTGCGGCGAAAAAAGAAGAATGTTTAAGAAAAAATAATCAGCAAACGTTGCGATATAAACAAAGCACAACAAACACAAAAAAAAAACACAAAAAATAAATAAAAGTTTTTAGAATAAATACAAAAGTTGTAACTTTGCGCTCGCTGATTGCCTGTAATTGCAGCGTAAATGAATTTCGCTGCTTTGCTTGGTAGATAAACACACACACACACACACCCATGTTTCTAGTAGGTGATAAGAAATTTTTAAGCCGAATTTCATGAAAATTTTCATTTTATTTTCCTTTATTTAATTTATTTATGAAAATTTTATATTTTTCCACGCCATTTAAGCGTTTCACTATATTTTTTTTGTCTGCACCGTTTTAAAAAAATGTGTATTATTTTGTAGAAAAAAATGCCACTTACCAATTATTCACTTGCAGTATCGTTAAGCCGGTATCTTGCGCCAACTGTTTTTTCTGATCCTCGGAGGGGTAGGGATGCTGGAAGAAGATTGTAAATTTTGGGAAAAATTATTTTCACTTAAACAAAGTTAAACTGTATATTTTTTTTAAAGAGAATAAGATAAAAAAATTTCATTGAATTTAATATTATTTAAGGTAAAATATTTCTGAATGAATTACGACCATGAAACTATCCAAGTTTAAGTCTTCCCACCTTTCAGTCGAATGATCGCTGACATTGCATGGTCGATTAACTTCGAAAAAAATTTAAATTTAAAAGTTCTTTCAGATAATCGTTTTAAAAATATATTTAAAATAGCCAAAATGTTTTGCGAAAAATTGAATTTTCCTGAAATTGGCCACATATATTTGAATATTTTATATTTTTTAGTAACTTTTCACATATATTTTACACTTTTTTGAAGTTTTGCCCTTATTAGTTTTCAAATGAAATTTTTTGGAAATTTTATATGAACTGCTTTTTCCATGAAAATTATATTTGAGCAAAACCAATAATAATTTTTTATTTTTATATGGAAGTTTAAGATTTTTACATTTTAAGTACATTTTTATTTATTTCCGGCAAAAAAATTTTTTTCTTCGAAAAATTTTCATTTTATTTATTAATTACAAATAAAATGCTTTTTCATAAAAAAAAAAATATTTTATTAGAAAATCTATATAATAATAGAAATATAATTTAAATAGCCCTTAAAAACTATACAAAATTTATGGATAAAATTATTAATTACTAATCCAAAAAATTTTTGCTTTTTTGCCTGAAATATTTAGATATATTAACGTTAAAGCAGTTATGAAAATAAATTTCTTTTCGATTTTACCCGAAACGAAAAGCTGTCGCTAATGTTAAATCGCTAACAGATAATGTTATATCGTTAACAGATAATGTTACATCGTTAACAGAAAATGTTAAACGTTGGAAAAAATTGGTAAAATTTATTATGCTTTTTCAGATCATTGTTCGGTTGAATTGTTTTTGGGTTTTTGTTGAATTGTTTCAGACTATATGGTTTTAAAAATAGTTACAAAATAACAACAACAGTTATGAACGGTAGAAATTGCAGCTGCTAGTTGGTTATTTATTTGCAAAAAAAAAAAATTGTTTGACTCAAATTTAATATAAATTTTTAAAAGCCTGTTTTAAATGGAAATCAAAAATCAAACAAGTTTTATGATTTAAAATACATATTTTTCTAAGTGAGCGTTTATATAAAAAATTGCAATCAATTTGATTATTTCTTAATTTTTATAAAAAATCTATTGCTGTTGTATGCGAAAACTTTATGACACTCAAAAAATTCTTATTTATTACTGAAATTTATAAATTCCAAGAATCATTGCTGTTGTTTATTGTTTACAAAGTAAGAGTTTCTTAGAATTATACAACTAGATTAGTAATATTTGTATACATATACATACATTTGTATACGGTTTTGTAATTTTAAAAATGCGTTTCAACAAATTACACTCAATTACAGACAATTTTACGGTATTTAATTTAACAAAATAATTACGAAAAAGTTTTTATACAAACACATACATACACATATATACGTAAATAGCATGCCTATGCTTTGGCAACCCTTTTTTGTTTTATGCGTATTTCGATAAACAATTAAAAAAAGTCTTATAAATCTAACTAAGCATTTATTTGACAGCTTTTGAGCTTATCTAAACAAATGTCAATGCAGCGCCACACTTAAAATGCGTTGCTGCCATGCCACGTGTAAAACACTAGTTGCATGTTGGGTGATTGCCTTCACGTGCAATAAAAAAAATCCATTGGCGGCAGAATAGATCAATCAAATGCAATGGCAAACGGTATAGCCAACTGTCAGCACCTTTATGCGCAACTGACATTTTAATAAGCGCACTAAAACTCATATATAAACCCATACTTATATAAACAACCAACATGTATACTCACAAAGCATTCTTTTGATATTTAAATGCGCACATACATAGATATGTATATGCGAGTATGTCTGTTTCTAATAATAAAATAAACAATAAAGTTCAACTAGCCACAAAACCAAAAACCAAATACTTGAGCATGCCGTTGTTGTTGTTGCTGCTGCTGCTGCTGCTGGTTTTTGTAACGTGTAAACTAAACGCCAAACAAATCTAAGAGCTTTTCCTAGCAGTTGTTGGTGTCGTTCTAGGCAGGCACTTCAACATGTCCTAAATCGAGCGGTTGCAATGTACAAAATGCAACACCCGCCCAGCCCAGTCTGGCTGCACTTTTGTGGCACTGCTACTTTACTTTTTTCTACATTCTTATTTTTTTATTTAATTTTTTTTTTTCTTTTTGTTGAGGGGTTTTTTTTTCATTTTTTGTAAAAGGTCTCCATCAACAGCGCCCGACACGGCCCAAATATACGCACGCCCTCATAAATCTTGTCGACCAGTAGCCGCCACAGTGGCGTCAGTGTGTAAACAAAGTTGTTGGAAAAAATATATAAAATTTTATAAAAAAAAAAAAAGAAAAAATTTCGAGTGCTTAGAGTGAAAGGAAAAACCAAAATTAAAAAAGAAAAAATTTATTGTAGGGAAACGCAAACAATTTTTTTTTATTTTTTTTTGATCCAGAAAAAAAAATATATGAAATCAAATAAAAATCAAAATGAAATTGAAAATGAAAAAGAGCACAGGAAAAATGATAGCAGGCACTTGTGCAAGTGTGCAGCGGAAAATGTGGGCTTCATAAGCGCCCTTTACAAAATCCCACAAAAATTATCAAAAATCGTAACGAAATATATATATATATATATATATATATATATATATATGTATAACAAGATATATAAATATTTAATATAAATAAAAAAAGTTAAATACTAACGTACATTTGCGTTCACCCACATGCTGCATTAACAAACGTTAAACCAAGTAGCCACTTGGGTACATAAGCACTCATACACATACATACATGTATAAGGACAAAATGTACTAATCAGCAACTGGCGCTTTAGCTGCTCATTACAATTACCAAATATTACATATTTTCATAATTTTCAGGGAATTTTTTATGATTTTCGGTTGCATAGTGAAAATAAATATTTATTTTGATTTTATTACAATTTAACTGATAAATACATAAATATATATATATATATGTAAGCATAAAAAAAATTAACTGTATATATTTATTAAAAGCGTAGCTACTTTCTTATGTTTCATAGATTTGTTTTATCTGTAGGTTTATGCTTGTGAAGTGGTTGTGTGGCGAGCTGCATGTCTTATCTGCGGCAGCTACATTGCTAATGCACTTTTATATACATTGTTCTTGTTGCTAGTTTGTTGCTATCGCATGCCTTCGATTTAACGCTGACGATGATGATGATGATAATATTCAGTTAGAAGTAAACAAACAATTAATGTTGTCATTCAATACTGATAATATTGACATATTTATGACAATGATATGACTACTCTTGGTTGATTCAAAGTTTCGGTTTTTGGACTATTTATGTGTGTGTAGAATCGGTGGCGCCACAAAACCTGTTGCATGCGCCAGACTACTTCAAGCTATTTTTGGTTACTTTTTTGCTTAAGGGAGGAGGGACAATAGATCTAGATTTGGGTTGATTTTTTAAAACACAATTTACATAGGTTTTCAGTAAAGAAAAATATAATATTTTATGTACATTTATTAAGTAACTTTTTTTTATTTAAAATAAATACATAATTAATGCTTTAGAAAATATTTGAAAAAATCTCCAAAATAATAATAATTATCGTAACTTAAAAAAATTGAAAAATATTAAACTTAGTGAAAATGAACAAACAAATAATTTTTACAATAACAATACGAGCAGTAAATGTGTTAAAAATAATAACAAGAAAAAACAATTAAAAAACAATTTTAAAAAAATCAAAAAAAGTATAATAACTTTTTTGATGTTTTCTATACAAAAAACGGCATTAAAAAATATAATGAAGTAAAAAAAAACATCTGCTACTTCATAATTAATTTGTTAAAAGTATTAGTCAAAATAATAAACTTAAAAATAAAAATGCTTAATTTAGGTCTAGTAACAATTAATCCATTATTTTTCCAATAGATGGTTTTACTGATCTATACCTAGCGTTCTGTAACTTGTGCTAAATTAGATAATGGAAAAAATGTTGAACACCTATTTCAGCAGTGTTTAAGCATCAGCAAAGGGAAAAACTAAAAATTCTGACATTTTTTTTCGATAAAGCTGAAAACGCAAGCCAGGCAGCTGAAAATGTAAATAATGTTTGTGGTGCTGATGTTGCAATAGTCAATAATCTTCGATTTCGTTTCGGTAATTTCCACGGCGTTGAAGGCGACTTGCCGAAAAAGTCGTTAAAATAAGGGAAATCATAGAGTCTGGCCTTCATGCGAGCATTGTTTCGATAGCACAAAAGCAGTTTGAAACCACTTGAAAAAGACTGAATACAAAAAAAAAAAGCTCATCATATGGGTGCTACATGAGATAAAGAGAAAAAATCTCATGAACCGAATTGTCATCTGCGATTCCTTGCTGAATCTTAACAAAATCGGTCCAATCTGATGCGAATGGTGACTGGTGATGAAAAGTGAATCACTTACTTAAAATACACTTGTCGTCGAAGGGCTCTTAATTTGGATCTATGGTATCAGAAATTGGAACGTGTGAAGAACGCAATCTCCAAAAGCGCCCAGCTATGGCCAACAGGATAAGAATAATGTTTCATCAGAACAACAACAGACCAAACATATAGCAATAGTGACTCGCCAGAAGCTTCTAGAACTTAGGTTCTAATTCTCAACTGTTCCTGCCTATCGCCAATGATTTGGCTGGTGTCGAATTGACCTCAAGAGAAGCCTGTGATAAGGAGTTGCCACAATGTTCCACCAATAGGGACAAAGGTTTCTATGAGAAAAGCATGATGGTATTAGTTTCGCCTAAAATGGCAAACAATTATCGAGCATAACGAAGCATATTTGACATTTATCGAATAATTCTATGGTAAATAAAGTCTACAATTTGAATAAAAAATTGTGGATT